AATTCGATAGTATTAAAAAAGAAAATGAATATACCTCATTAACTTGGAGAATAGGACAAATATTTCAACCGATTGAAACAATATCCCGCATTTTTTGCGGAGGAGCCCATGAAATGTGCATGGTCTGATATATCGTGGAATGTACATGAATTATACGTTGGCACCACCAACTTTTTTTTGGTTGATAGAAAGTTCGCTTTCTCATCATTTGACTGGTTTCAAAGTGGTTCGAATCCCTTTGCCGTTTGAGATATGAGAGAGCCTCCCCCCCACTTCCCGGTCAAGATAGATGTAAAGGAACCCTAACAAGTCAAGGCCATAACCAACCCCTCTACTTATTATGCATGTACACTTTTGTTTCCCGGTGGGACCACCCTTCCTCTTGCTAATCCGCCATTTTCGAACCTGTCTACTTAATGCAAATCAATGAAATTCGACCGGGAAAGAGGCATTACTTAAAGTTCAAGCCAAGTAAAATGCTGTCACAATCCACATTTAGTAGCATGTATCCTAATCTAAGACATCCCTCAAGTCATTGAACTGTTGTTCATGTAATACTTCTAAAAACAATAAAAGAATGGACCCAGAAAAAAAATAATTACTTTAGTAACATGTCAATGGGACAAGCACATGCTTTTTGTTCAGATTGTGTAACTGAGAAATTTGTCACAAGTAAACAAGAAAAGTGGGCTGTCTAAGGGCTGTCCAAGAGGGTCCGCTTGTTTTAATTAATTTATTTTTTTGACAATAAGGTCAGAATTTAGTAACCTTTTTAATTAAATTCTCTCTGGCATGCAATTTCTTCAGCAGCAGACAGCAGTTAACATGTTCATACTGAATCAATTAAAAGTAATTGCAGTAAATTTTGTCTGTGTCTGAAAATCAGCAGAACAATAACACTAAATTTAGTTTTTCTCTGCATAGAAATTCAAAAGTCACAGGCACATTTTGACTAGAGATTATAATGAATGATGCATCCATTTAATAAGATAGAATTTATGCTCGAAAAAAGTCACCTTTAACAGATACATACACACTTCAATAATAGAAAGCACTTTACGCATTATGGGGCATCTTCTTTTATTTTACACTCTTTATTATTATGATTACCATAATTGCAACAAACCAAAGGTTTCTACACATTATGACTAATTTGACACTTTATTTTTTAAACATTTCTTTTCTTTTCTTAACCAAATAAAATGTCTCTTTATCTATTCAAATTCTACTCACCCATCATAGTTTTTTTCAACAAAACAAGAAATAAAGAGTAATGCTATTTATAATTGCTTATTGTCATAATCGTCTTATGTGGCGGTTAGTGATTTGATGCATTACTACCACATTGATGGATCAAATCACTAGCCGTCACATGTAAATCATATAGGGCAATTGTAGTAGTAAGCGACTGCAAATATAATTATTCAGAAATTAGTTATCTCCATTTGAATTAAAATTTTGAAGAGTCAATTTAACAGATTGGTATAGTCTCGCCACCACTATTACAGCGATACATGTTTCTTTCTTTCTCCCTTATCTTCAGAACATATACTAAAGAGTACATAGGCTTTTATTATTACTGTTTTGCTTTAATATCATGATAATAGCCTTTTTCGATGTTTGTTGAAAGTACTTAGAATTTAATAATTCTTCGTCCGTGTTCATACTTCTTATTTGGATGTTAACTTCTTATTAATTAATATAAAATTAGATTATATTTTATCTTCATTTTCATTATTTTGTTACATTATCTCTCACAGTCAACATTATTCAATTTTGTACATAAATCACTCAAATGCTTATTCAGTTTTGTTCAAAATAGTTGCAATGAAAAAATGATCAAAGAAATGATTAGACCTATTTGCCATTGCATTCTAATTTTATTTGCCGAAACTTCACTTATAATTTGTATTGTACGTTGAAATTTGACATTTTATATTTTCCTCTTCGAATTTTGAGACTTATTTGTCTGTATTAAATTTTTCATATTTATATTAAAACCCTTTATAAGGTTCAAAATATAGGGGCCCAATCTTTGAAGTTGGCATAAGGCCCCCAAAATATGAGGGTCAGCCCTGAATTCGATAGTATTAAAAAAGAAAATGAATATACCTCATTAACTTGGAGAATAGGACAAATATTTCAACCGATTGAAACAATATCCCGCATTTTTTGCGGAGGAGCCCATGAAATGTGCATGGTCTGATATATCGTGGAATGTACATGAATTATACGTTGGCACCACCAACTTTTTTTTGGTTGATAGAAAGTTCGCTTTCTCATCATTTGACTGGTTTCAAAGTGGTTCGAATCCCTTTGCCGTTTGAGATATGAGAGAGCCTCCCCCCCACTTCCCGGTCAAGATAGATGTAAAGGAACCCTAACAAGTCAAGGCCATAACCAACCCCTCTACTTATTATGCATGTACACTTTTGTTTCCCGGTGGGACCACCCTTCCTCTTGCTAATCCGCCATTTTCGAACCTGTCTACTTAATGCAAATCAATGAAATTCGACCGGGAAAGAGGCATTACTTAAAGTTCAAGCCAAGTAAAATGCTGTCACAATCCACATTTAGTAGCATGTATCCTAATCTAAGACATCCCTCAAGTCATTGAACTGTTGTTCATGTAATACTTCTAAAAACAATAAAAGAATGGACCCAGAAAAAAAATAATTACTTTAGTAACATGTCAATGGGACAAGCACATGCTTTTTGTTCAGATTGTGTAACTGAGAAATTTGTCACAAGTAAACAAGAAAAGTGGGCTGTCTAAGGGCTGTCCAAGAGGGTCCGCTTGTTTTAATTAATTTATTTTTTTGACAATAAGGTCAGAATTTAGTAACCTTTTTAATTAAATTCTCTCTGGCATGCAATTTCTTCAGCAGCAGACAGCAGTTAACATGTTCATACTGAATCAATTAAAAGTAATTGCAGTAAATTTTGTCTGTGTCTGAAAATCAGCAGAACAATAACACTAAATTTAGTTTTTCTCTGCATAGAAATTCAAAAGTCACAGGCACATTTTGACTAGAGATTATAATGAATGATGCATCCATTTAATAAGATAGAATTTATGCTCGAAAAAAGTCACCTTTAACAGATACATACACACTTCAATAATAGAAAGCACTTTACGCATTATGGGGCATCTTCTTTTATTTTACACTCTTTATTATTATGATTACCATAATTGCAACAAACCAAAGGTTTCTACACAATTTAAAGCACATATCAATGGGACCTTGTGCCAGTTAACTTTGCATCCTTCACAGATTGTAGGGACAGAAGCCAGCAACATTTGTAACAATATTGAACCTTGTAACTTAACGAATTTCTGAAAAGAAACCCACTTTGCAGTTTCAAGAAAAGCGGGTATGAGCCTACGAAGTCATAGACGTGAAACTTGTGTTGATAATTATCACAAACAAGGTAATTTAAAGCACATATCAATGGGACCTTGTGCCAGTTAACTTTGCATCCTTCACAGATTGTAGGGACAGAAGCCAGCAACATTTTTAACAATATTGAACCTTGTAACTTAACTAATTTCTGAAAAGAAACCCACTTTGCAGTTTCAAGAAAAGCGGGTATGAGCCTACGAAGTCATAGACGTGAAACTTGTGTTGATAATTATCACAAACAAGGCCACTAGCCGTCACATGTATATCATATAGGGCAATTGTAGTAGTAAACGACTGCAAATATAATTATTCAGAAATTAGTTATCTCCATTTGAATTAAAATTTTGAAGAGTCAATTTAACAGATTGGTATAGTCTCGCCACCACTATTACAGCGATACATGTTTCTTTCTTTCTCCCTTATCTTCAGAACATATACTAAAGAGTACATAGGCTTTTATTATTACTGTTTTGCTTTAATATCATGATAATAGCCTTTTTCGATGTTTGTTGAAAGTACTTAGAATTTAATAATTCTTCGTCCGTGTTCATACTTCTTATTTGGATGTTAACTTCTTATTAATTAATATAAAATTAGATTATATTTTATCTTCATTTTCATTATTTTGTTACATTATCTCTCACAGTCAACATTATCCAATTTTGTACATAAATCACTCAAATGCTTATTCAGTTTTGTTCAAAATAGTTGCAATGAAAAAATGGTAAAGAAATGATTAGACCTATTTGCCATTGCATTCTAAATTTATTTGCCGAAACTTCACTTATAATTTGTATTGTACGTTGAAATTTGACATTTTATATTTTCCTCTTCGAATTTTGAGACTTATTTGTCTGTATTAAATTTTTCATATTTATATTAAAACTCTTTATAAGGTTCAAAATATAGGGGCCCCATCTTTAAAGTTGGCATAAGGCCCCCAAAATATGAGGGTCAGCCCTGAATTCGATAGTATTAAAAAAGAAAATGAATATACCTCATTAACTTGGAGAATAGGACAAATATTTCAACCGATTGAAACAATATCCCGCATTTTTTGCGGAGGAGCCCATGAAATGTGCACGGTCTGATATATCGTGGAATGTACATGCATTATACGTTGGCACCACCAACTTTTTTTTGGTTGATAGAAAGTTCGCTTTCTCATCATTTGACTGGTTTCAAAGTGGTTCGAATCCCTTTGCCGTTTGAGATATGAGAGAGCCTCCCCCCCACTTCCCGGTCAAGATAGATGTAAAGGAACCCTAACAAGTCAAGGCCATAACCAACCCCTCTACTTATTATGCATGTACACTTTTGTTTCCGGGTGGGACCACCCTTCCTCTTGCTAATCCGCCATTTTCGAACCTGTCTACTTAATGCAAATCAATGAAATTCGACCGGGAAAGAGGCATTACTTAAAGTTCAAGCCAAGTAAAATGCTGTCACAATCCACATTTAGTAGCATGTATCCTAATCTAAGACATCCCTCAAGTCATTGAACTGTTGTTCATGTAATACTTCTAAAAACAATAAAAGAATGGACCCAGAAAAAAAATAATTACTTTAGTAACCTCACAGTTGCACGAAAAATGATAGCCAGAACACATCCAGGATTAAAGAAATAACATTTACAGACACATAATTATAAAATACATGGGAATAACTTAATGAAGTTTACACTTCACACATTGATTCATATAGCACAAATCCCAGCAAAGAGTTTTGCTGTTTAAATACATATCCAAATCACAACAGTCAGCAAGGCACAAGATCACCCCTTAATAAGTTAAATGTCCTTCCCCTGATAATAAAGAACTCACTAACGCCCCTAGAATAACAGCAATATCCACCGATCAGTCATCATTCATCTTAGATGTGAAGACTCCATCAGTCTTGTTGGGGTTGTTTCTTAGTTTTGCGGGAAGCAGTACCATTCTGGACAGAGATCCCATTTTCCCTGTTCGTGGGAAATATATTAGGACTGTCACTGTAAATGGTAAAACCCTGATGACCTTCTCGACTCCCTTTGTCTAAACATCCCATGTCACTCAAGTTCTTCCTTCTTCCCAACTTTGGTGATTTTGCACGAGTTGGAGGTGTCTAAAATTCCAAAACAATACTCTAAAGAACGTAAGGTACTGTACAAACAATAAAATATAGGCAAGCCAATATAAGTAGATTTTTGAACTCAACCATTGTGTTACTTATATTCCTTATTATAAGTATAAAGTGAATCAACAAAGTTGCAACACCTTTTTCAGTTCGACCTTTGGTGGAGGTCCCTCATGGTAGAAGCTTGGCATTGGGCTTGCTTTAAACGTCAAACTCTTCCTTAATTGTTTGATTGCTGCTTCAGTCTCTTCCTATATTTATGTGGAAAACAAACAATCTAAGGTATGTAGATTGGAAATTATCTGTTTGAGAATCGAATGAAGAAAGATAGTGGCGTTTCTATGTGGAATAGGAGGACAGAAATGACTTTTACACTCGGCGCATGTTTCGTAAGCAAACTGAACTATACCAGATAGTTAACGATATTTCGATTTCTCTTCTTCCTTAATATTGTCGAGTATTACCCTGGTTTTCCCTACTTAAACATGCCATCATGGCTGTCTAAAATCAATGAAAAATTGTTAAGATTGAAATTTAAATCAGTTCACGGTTTAATTTTTAGAATGTGCTGATTGATGATTACATTATATAAGATATACAATTACCTTTGTCCTTGCCTCACATTGAGTCTTTTCTGCCTCCAGTGCTTGATGTTTCTCCTCTAATTTTGTATAAAACTACAAACACAAGTAAAGTTAAACAACTAGACAGGATGATGCATATTCTGATCAGCATTAAATATAGAAAATAACAGAAAAACTATCAAATGAAAAAGATGGATAGGAAAACCACCTCTTTTCTTCTCTCTGCACGGTCATTGCACCTGAATGTTGGGGCTGATGCAACAGCTGTCCTGAACTTTCTCCCTGATGCCACAGTTCTTGAAATAGTTGAGGAACAATTTAATCAAATCAATGATAGTTACAAGGAAATAAACAGATTCAGAGACAAAGGGAAGATCTAATTAATTGGGCTCTCAGAAAAGTAGGATACGTAGAGGCAATCGAATAGTTATCATCATCTGGACGCTTCTTGTTATCAGGTTGCAATGGCTTCCTTGGTACAGAAGGCGAGGCTAGCTGTACATGAAGTGAAACCTATGATATTAGTTAGCGACAAGATGCTAATATTACATCCTCAATACAGTTGGCAGGCAAAAAAACTCAAACTAGTTTCAAGTAGTTTTCTCATACATTATAATAAGCCACATGACACAGATACTTTGAGAATAAATGCAAAGAAAGGAAATGTAATAGAAAATCACAAAACCGCAAAAGATTTGTGACTTACCAGTTCCAAAGGGTAAAATATCCTTTACATATTTAGAAAACATATAAACTAGTGTAGAAACTAAGAACTACAGGAGACAATGTTTTCCCCATTCCAAATAAACTGTTTGATAGACAAAACTTTTTGTCAAAATATTAACAAGACACTTTTATGTGAAGCGAAAGTTAGAATGGAGTGTAAAAATTGAAGAGGTTGGTACGGATTTTACCTGATTCAGCTTTGCAGAATTTGGCCGCGGCAAATTGTCAATGTTAGATGGTTTATCAATCTCATCCCCATAAGGACGAGTACCATATGAAGCCCGCTTTTCAGTTGCCAGAGCAAATGGGTGTGGAACAGTGCATTTTGTTTTACAATTTCCAGCTGCAGACTTGATAGCAGGTTTTCCAGAGGCCCTTGATCTCTTCCCATCAGCTGTTATTTTATGCCCATCAGATTTTGCATCCTCTTTTGCCATCTTAATATCAACATTTGAGCTTGGAAGATCTTTCGCCTCACCTTTTTCAACTTGGCAAAGTTTACTGATATCAACTGACTTCTCAGTATTGCATTCCTTTATTTGACACTCCTTTACTTCAGCATCCTCTTTCGATGCTTCGCCTGGATCTGGGTTGAGATAAATATGTTCAAACTGTTGTACCACATCTTGGTAGCTCTCAGTTTCGTAACTTGTATCATGGGAGACACCATTTGAGTAACTTATGACACTGCCTGGCTCCTTGTCCATATGAATATCAGTAACTTCCAGCTCCATACAACTGTAACAATAAACAAAAGCATTACCACCATGTCCTTCAATGTGAATCAAGCAAAATACAATAAAGTTTGTTTACACCTCCTGAAAAATATTCTAAAATTCGGTTATCACACAATTTCCATGGAAACGATCACCTCAGTATGTGTGAAAGTATAATCACATAAACATGAAAACAAATTTGATCGGGAGAAATTTTTCATACAGAGTGTCCAAACATAATTTGTTGCAACAGAATTAATGCACTAGGAGGAACTTTGATGCCTATGTTTCAGACTACTACATCCCCAAATATCCAAAATAAATTAAACAATTTATACCAGAAATATCTTTTGCTTGGATGGTTACTGTATCTGTGCATCATATGCCTAAATCAAGTCATTAAAAGAGTCCCCCACCATGGGTCAGTACTTTTTTTTTTTGGATTTCCCCCAATTAGTCCATCTTGGCCTGTTGAAACCCGCCTAACCCTCAAGTTAAGCCATCGAAGAGAGGACAATTTTGTTTATCTTCAGCATGCCTCCCATTTCATCAAAGGCCTAACATGTGCACAATATCCATAATATTTGGGGGTAAAACTTGAACCAATTCTAATACCAAATTGAACCACCTCATTTAAAAACTTGCAAATTATACACAAACCCATTTCTGGGAGATGAGGTTGAATTCAGAGATTCGTTTAACATAACAATGCAGTGAAAGAAGCTAAAATCATTAATACTTAATTCAAGTCACATCATGATGGAACAAAAATAAAATCCAGATAATTAAAGAAAATAAACATGATCACTGTTTTTTCTAGCAAGTAAAGAAAACAACAAGAGCCAGATAATAATTTCACAAGGCTTTGCATATGTCTGCCAAACGTTTACGCAAAATACACTTTCTCGTGTACGCAGGAGTTATAGATACCAGATACCGCATTTATGCATATCCGCGTATCAGAAGTATTTACCAGTAATATTCTCTAAGCCAACCGGTCAGACTCACTTTTAATCAAAGACCAGACGCTAGATCAACAACCGCTCGTGATTAAACGTGTGATAATATGTTGAATTACATGATCTAAAAGTTTAGTCATCAACCCATAAATGATAAAGACCATTTAGCAGGAGTTATAGATACCAGATACCGCATTTATGCATATCCGCGTATCAGAAGTATTTACCAGTAATATTCTCTAAGCCAACCGCTCAGACTCACTTTTAATCAAAGACCAGACGCTAGATCAACAACCGCTCGTGATTAAACGTGTGATAATATGTTGAATTACATGATCTAAAAGTTTAGTCATCAACCCATAAATGATAAAGACCATTTATTATGCAAAAAGAAATTCAAAGTAAAAATATCTATTCAGCAAAAAGAATCATAACTGAAAATTTTGCATAATTCGAAAGAAACTTATCCAGTTTAAGTTTTCGTCTGTTGCAACATTTCAAATTAACATGAAAATAAAAATATACACATCGTTTGGTACGATAATTGACAAAAAAAAGTATATGCCTCCATTCACAAGATACAAAACACTATCACTGCACGTCAATTATGGCAACACATCAGAAAATGTCAATTATCAGTTCCAATAAATCTTACTCAATAATCAACGCAATTTACTTCAAAACCCATAAAATTCATTCAAAATTAGACCTGAACAGATTAAAATGCAGATTAATTTGAACGGAGGAAAACAAATATGCTGACACGGTATATAGATCTGCTTATATTAAAACCCACCCATAAATCATACCAAACAACAAAAACTGATGGAATTGAACACATATTATAGAAAAGAAAATTGAAAATGAGGGAAATTTTTCTTACATAAAATTTAAAATTGTGATTTTTTTATGCTTGTTTGTCTTCTGGGTTTTCCTTATCGAGAGATTTGTTGAGCTCTCTCTACACTGTGCGTGCGTGTTTGTGTGTGACAGTGTATTTGTTTGTCTTCTGTTGCAGATAGTTATAGAGAGTGGGTTGGGTGGAAAAAAAATAATAATAACGGCGTTAGTTGACGGCAGTTGAGAATTTTGAAATTGAGTGGAAACGAATCCCAGAATTTTAGTCGTGGGGTCAACTCTGTCCTAAAGTGGATAAGTGAAATGACGATTTTAACCTCTGGATTGGAGGTAAAAGTTTTTGAATTTTGGCTTATTTTGTGTGTATATATCATCAGAATCACAGACAAAAATAAATAAAGACAGAAATAAAATAGAGAAATAGATTTAGTCCACCTCACAGAACATGAATTCTCTATTTTTTTTTTTAACAAAGTAGGATCAGATTCAGGATCAAGATCAAACATAAAATTCTGTGATACAGTTAAAACCTTGTATAAGATATCAAAATCCCTAATGCCATCTTATAGAAAAATAGTTTTGATTTTTTAAGACATCAAATCATGATATTCGTTGATAGTTTTAAATGAAAACACTTGTGTGAAACTAATTCCATTCTAATACAAAATACGAGTTATTCTGTATTTATTGAAAATAAATTATATTTTGCATCCCAGGTGTTTGATTCGATCCTGTAATAAGAGGAATTGAAGAGCATAAGAAAGAACTCGTATGGGAACAATGGAAATACATCTTATGCTCGTTTTCTTTATGTAACGTATAAAAAGACACATTTAATACACAATTATAAACAGTCGATATAAAATAGACAAAATTATAACTTAATCTCATCTATTGCGACCCAGTCCAATGTACCTTACCTGTTATGTTAAAGATTTGTATTGACAAAAATAGTGTGAATAACATTTTAAATTATTGTTTAATTTTCTTGTTGCTTCCATAGCTTGATGTTGCCAACAATGCATAGCAATTTACAGCTAATGACAATTTTGACACTTTAACAGTAATTAGGTGTTAGATTGTCTTAAAGATGTTTATATTTCAACAGACTAAGATTAGAGAAAACAAGTTGTGAGCCAATTAATGATTCATTTGATTACTATTTTTAACCCTTTTGATAATGCCCTTCTACCATCCAATTAACTATTTAATTTAATTACTTCTATATTTGACTTAAACCAAAATGGTGACCTAGTGACCCTTTGATATGTATATTTAATACAATACATTAATATTAAAGACGAAAACTAAGCCCTATTTGACAACCATTATAATCAGAATTTTGGGTAAAACGTATTTTAGAATATAAGGGTGCGGTTGGTTTAGTTTTTCATTTTCCATTTTCGGTTTAAAAATAATTTTTAGTTTTCCTCAAAAACGTCGTGTTTTGGGCATTTTCCGCGTTTTGGAAATTTATAATTTTAACTCGTTTTCGAAAATGCATTTTCAAAAACGATGGACCAAATGCGTTTTCCGGGTTTTCGAAAACAAAAAACGGAAAATAGCCCGAAAACGCCAAACCAATCGCAACCTTAGTTTTTGGGAGAATGTGTAGTTAAAAAAGAATGAAATTTTTTTTTATACCTGTAATATTATTTTATTGAAGAATGTATTGTTAAAAAGAAGTGAGAGAAAAATGTAATAAAATTTTAAAGGAAAATCAAACAAGTGTTAAATACTTAAAAATGACAAATGCCATATTAAGTTAAAACACTACTCAATTTTTACGTTTTTGGTAAGGGTACACTTGAGCTTACCTTTTCCATGGTCTAGACCCGTCCCTTTACACTGAGAAAATTAGACTGGATTAAAATACTGGACAAAAATTTAACTTGTTCTTCCTCCTTAATCTCGTGGAGGCCATTCTACCAACATATAATAAGCACATCCTTGTTTCATTGTCGAGTCAAGAACAAGTTACAACATAGGAGGCTTGGCCTATGTTCGGCTAATATTTATAAACTTATTACACCTTTCACATTTCGTGACCCAATAAGAATACCCTGTGGTCTAAATGAAGTAATTAAGACCAAGAGACTCGTTCATCTCTCAATTCTGTATGTCACTAGATATCCACTACTTAGATTACGACTTGTATTAGAAGATCGAGTTTTACTTTAAACACTCGTGAAGACAACATTGCTCAAACTAGATCACAAGAACTTTTCAAAATATTTGACTTTGCTGAACTAGCTAATCCTATTTGCAATATTAAATCGAATTTATACATCAATTTCAATCAACAGGTAATTATGTAGCTTTAAAGTCATACCTTTCACTTTCCGTGGAAGTGGTAAGGAACAACCTTAATTTTGGAGCTATTTTAGTATTCTGTAGACTGAAAATGAAGGACCATCCACCTTGAACCATTAAAGCACGAGCACGCAGAGGTAAAATCATAAATAGTTGCCTACCGGTTGACAACCATTAAATTTTTTAGGAAAATTTAATTTTAAAATAGTGATTTTCTGAAAAGTATGTGGTTAAAAAGTGGGGAAAAAAATTGGGTTTACATACAGAGTATCTTATTGTAAGAATCTATGATTGAAATAAGTTCGATAAAAAAAAAATATTTTTGTCATATCACTGATGCTTAACTTATTTTGACTTTAACTTATTCACCAATTAAATGATATGTCATATTACTAATGCTTAATATAAGCTAAGTATCGGTGTTTAAGAGATCATTTCCGATATATATATATAAAACCCACCATCATGGTCCCATTTGACATTAAGATGATGGTTTTAAACAAACAACGTAAAATGAATGTGTAGCTAGCATAATCGTAAAACTATTTTAACCTCAAATTAACGGAATATGCTAATCTGAAAGAACTCTATATCTTTCATTTTCTTATATTGATAGGTTCAACCCGTTATCTTTGTGTTCCTTTTATTTTTAGTTTTATTTTTTGTTTTTTGAGTATTAATAAACAGTACTTATTGCATGTATTCAACATGGTAGTGTTAGTGTATATATATTAATTAGGATTATGTCCTCCAAATTAAAGTGATTTAGCTCATCAGTCTTGGCTCAATCTGTTCACACGTATTTCCTATTGGATTTTTTGGGACAACACATTGCAGAAATATCTTGAATTAATCATTATTAATACTAAGATTAGTTAAAAAATTAATCCTTAACCAATTGTCGTCAGTTGTTTGAGTTTGTTCTAAGTGAAAAATGTATCAAATATCCATATGAGAATAGTTGTATATGAATACGGACAACATAGGAAAATCTAGAAAGAAGTTACTAATTTTAGCATTTGTCGATGTGATCTCTTTTATGATTATGAAATAAAATCAAATGGTGATAGATGTGTTGTATGGTATCATCTAGTGGAGTTTTCAGTGCCCGAGTCGAGACACAAAACAATCGAAGGATATTAGCATGTTTGGTTTAACTTAAGTGCTAAGATTAAAGAAAAAATCTCAATTGTATATCTCCATTCAAATTTTAGTTGATCCTTTTTGTATAAATGATACTAGTTACTTGTAGGTGCATCATGCATGTTCTTCTGGTTTGGGCCCTTTGATGATCTCTGATTGAATTATGATCCATTGCATTCGGTAATATTATTTAGAACAATCATGTCATGGGTACATTGTGGCATCAAACGGAGTGTCCAAAATGGACACCAATGCCAAGGCACCTGTCATGACAGGGCCCACCGGCACCTCGACCAATACTAAGGCGCCGACCCCGTTGTACACCACAATGTACCTCAAGCATTTTTCTATCTAGAACCCTACAACTAAAGATAGTTTGCATAAACAAGGGAGTTAAGTTTAAAATTCAAATTTCAGGTATTAATTACAAAAAATTAATTTAATATTTTATCAAATAAATATATTACTAATAATTCAATCCACGCAATCCAATTCCTAACTCCCACACCCACCCCCACACCTACCACCACCTTAAATTTAGATTCTTCTATTTCTGCCTCCCACTTAGGGGTGTAAACGAGCTGGGCCGAGCCGGCTCGCGAGCCTAAAGTTTCGGCTCGGGCTCGGCCCGGTTAAAATAGCCGAGCTTTTTTGCGGGCTCGTTTTGCTCGGCCAAAAAAAATAGGCTCGGGCCGAGCCGGGCGGCTCGTTTTCTCCACTAATTTTTTTTTTTTTAAATATTAGTCTTTTAATCTACTGCCTTTTCTAATCTGCTGCCTAAGGCAGCAGTTTTGCTGCCTTTTAAGGCTTCATTTGATTATTATTATTTTTTTAAAATCTTCAGAGCTCACGGGCCGGCTCAGGTAAAGCCCGTGTCCCCAAAATGGGGCTTGGCCCGAGCCTAGGCTCGGGTCTACCGAGCCCCGAGCCGAGCTGGCTCGGGAAGAGCCACAGGCGGCCCGAGCCGATGAGCCCGATTGCCATCCTTACTCCCACTCCTCCAGATCTATCACTTGCTCTCCTCGTTCCTCCAATTCTGCTGCTGTCGGGATTGGAATCGATAGTGAGATCCAAGGAAGTGCTAAAATATTTGAGGATGGCATCATTGCTATATTGGAATCAATAGTGAGGTCCAAAGAAGTGCTAAAATAGCTGAGGACGTTGATGAAATAGAATCATCAATTTGTATGAAAAAATTGTATTTGGCCGAATTCAAAAATGGTGGTTCTGTTGGTGGTGGAATTTGGGGGAATTCGTGCTTGAATTTCCTAATTTTTTGTGGTTCTGTTGTTTGGTTTTGTTGGTGGTGGTGGTTGGTGTTTGTTGAAGGTGTTGGTGGAAGTGATGATGATGATTATTGTTGTTATGGATTTGAGATGAATGTAGATTTGAGTTGAAGGTAGTTGTAATGGTGGTAAGTGGTAGTGGATTGTGACGCTGGTCTTTGGTGTGTGCAGATTTTTTTTTTTTTTGGTGGTGGCCCTCTATGATTAATTATGCATTTTATTGTGATCGAGTGTGACCAATTTTGTCTTCATTGTGTTTGTCTATGACCAGATTAACAGTAAGTCACACATTAGATAGAACTAGTCACGGATAGTCATACTTAATACAAATTTGATCGCAATTTGTTACAAATAACACATATAAGTAATTAGGTTATATACAGTTACAAATTCGACTGACTTGGTCATAGTCAGTCTACTCACAAAAACCTCGTCAACTACAATGCAATATTACTACTACCACATAGTACTCAAAACGTTGTTATCACTTCACCACCCCTATACTATGAACCCTATCAAACAGATCAATACCAATGTACTTTCGTCACTGTACCATCATCGTCACCATGCAGATCTATTTTCTAAGCACAGTGTTACCTCATCACCATCACCACCACCTGTAAAGTTACTTGTATTTGTAAATGTATATAAAGAGAGAAAACTTCTATAGAGAGAACATTTTTAATTTTTGGAGTTTTCTACAGTGAGGTAAGGTAGGATATAATGATTTATCACCTACTTTATGAAAGTTTTTAGGGAATTTGTTAGTTGTGAAATATGGTTTTTATAGTATAGAAGTTATGTTTTCGTATTAATTTTTCTTGGCCATACTAATGGCCCAGCCTCTCTGGCCCAACATTTACAAAAGCACCATTATGGGGCTCTACTTATATATAGGCCACGTTTCATTTCAATGACTAAAATCTTGTAATTCTTGTTACAAAAGATAGTTATATAAAATTATAATGCAATACATATGAGTGGTGAATAAGTTGGTAATAGTTGTGGATCCTATAAAATATGTAGTTAAAATTAATGGTTAATTTTAAAGTGTAAATTATAAGTTACTTTTAGACCCTGTTTGGAGTATATTAAAATTATATTTTTAGTAAATTTTGATAAAATATGTGATTAAAAAATTGTGGATCTACGAGAAATATAATTTTTCAACCACAAATTTCATCAATTTTTATTAAAATCTACAAATAAAAAAGAGAAACTCTAATTTTTATCTAAACGAAACAAGGGCTAAGACTCTTCACAACTTAGACAAGAAAACACACTTCAAATGCCAAATGCTGATAGAAAAATGTGGTATCCCAGATGTTCTTAAATCTCACATTATGCACTAAATATGGTCTAATTCCTTTAATCTATATAAATTCTCAATTCAACTCCCTTTTCTGCACTCCATTCATTTCAAATTGCCATTAGAAAAAAGAGTTCCGAATCCCTGATTCATGATTTTTTAGTCACATTTCCAAGCCAAGGCCTTGTAAATCCTCTGCTTAGATAGAGGTAAGCACCTTGCTTCCAAGGTTCTATTCTCTGCTCCCCAATTCATCAGCCTAAACTTGCAAAAAGCCGATATCTTTGACGAGACCACCCCCGTTGGCAATTGCCTGATGAGGTTCATGTTCTTTGATGATTATTGGGACATTAATGATCCTAAACGCTTCACTGATGCTGATTTGCACATGGATCAACTTGAGTTCATTGGCAAGCATGAACTCCTCCGAATGATCAGAAAACACGCGGACAAAGGTGCTTGCATAATAATCTACAATCCTTTAGTTCCATAGGTTTTTGACGTTGCTGAGAGCCTAGGCATCCCAAGTGTCTTGCTTTGGTCCAATCTTGTCCAAACATTTTTGCCTATTGAAGAACTTGAACGTGAAAATCATTGAATACGTCCAAGATTAGTCCCACTAAAGCTATTGGTACACTTTTCAGACATCATGGAACTTCGATTTCTAACTTTTGAGGTGACTTCTGGACAAGTTACAATTGTATCGAGTGGCTTGATTTGAAACGTCCATCCACAGTTGTTTATATCTCCGTTTGAGAGTCTTGTCCACTTGAAGGAAGAACAAGCTGACAAAATTGCGTACGGGCTTTTGAAATCTGTAATATCATTTTTGTGGGTGATGAAACTGCCAACAAAAGAATAAGGCCTTGAGCCACTGGTTTTGCCAGACAAGCAGGTAAGAAGGGGAGAATAGTGCAGTGAGTCCACAAGAAAAAGTCTTGTGTGTAGAACTCGACGATGAAGGAAGTGGCTAGTGGTGTTTCGGTGGTGGCATTACGACAATGGGTGGATCAAGTCACGGACGCCAAGTTCTTGGTGGATGTTTTCAAGATTGGGATTCAAATGAGCAAAGGGGAGGCTGAGAATAGGATTATTCCCCAAAAGGATATTGAGAAGTGTTTACTAAACACGACAAGCAGTGCCTGCTTAAAGAGAGTGCATTAAAGTGGAAGAGGCAGAGGATGGCTCCTCCGATCGATTATGAAAGAATTTGTGGAAATGGTGGTTGCTAGCATCCTGTGCTTGGACCGGGACCATTTACCTGCTTAGTAATAATTGTCACACCTTATACACAGTGATAGTTTAATGTGCAAAGTTCTTAGGAAATGAAATAAGATCTGAAAATTTTCTCTACATACAATTTCCTAGATCCAAAAAGAGAAGGTTATGAAGGGGGACCTTAAATGAACTCGTACAGATACTTGACTCAGTCGAGTTTTCCCATTTTCAGCAACAGCGTCATGAATCTGTAACACATATCAATCCATAAATTACGGAAGAGCAAGCATATATTGCACTAAACCATTAGCCTAAATAGCTTGTTACCATCACAACGCACGGGGAAATCCCCGGGCCTGCCTTGTGATTAGAAAAAATTTCGCAGATCGAACAATTTTATATGTGGTTGCATCGGGTGCTATCCCTTCGAACAACCATTTCATTGAAGTACTCTAAAGACTGGTGATGCTCCAGAGAAATGCATGAAAGAAAGCCAAGCTTCACCTCAAAACCAGTCCAAACAAGAACATTAATCCAAACTCATCTTTATTTATTTTGACTTCATAAAATGCAAGGTTCTGAGAAATGAATACAACAACACACGACAAAACTCACAAAATACCAGTCCCAAAACAGGACCAATTTTTCAGAAATTACTACATTTATCTCACGAGAGTGAAGCCTAAAGAATAAAAGAATTCAGCAATCTAACAAGTGAAATATTCAAGATTTACTGAAACTGGTGGCAACAGGAATGATAACAAGAAGAATAAGCACAAGAAGAAGAATTATTCCTATACAAAAACACTTTCTGCTGCTCTTCTGGTAGTTTTTGGCAGTCTTGAGACTTTTAGTTCCATCACTGACATATTGGGCTGCATTCATCACATTGTGCTCGATGTCATCCATTTGCTCCCCTTGTGCCTCCACCATCACTGCCATGTCGAGAAATATCTGGTGCAGCTCCAGCAGGCTCTTCTCTATCTCCTTGGCAGCGTCATGCCGGTCTTGGATTTCGATCACGGTCTCCAGTACCTTCCCCCTCCCATGCTCCTATAAAAAATATGTTGTTGACTATTCTTAAAGAGGGCAAAATACTCGGGTGTAATATTATAATTTCTCAAATAGTGTACTATTGAAGAACAAAAACCCCTTTTCTAGTAAAACAAGGCAAAGAAATTACTATTTTGTACGAGAAACATTCCATGAGCATTTAGTACCTGTATAGCTCTAGACAGAAATTCCTCACCCCCATGGCCATCTCCACTGGATATAATCTTCTCTATCACCTCCTCACCAGGGTACTCTCCTGTCACTGTAAAATACCTTCTCCCAACAGTCTCCTTATACTCATTCATCATCCTCTGTCTCAGTCCCTGGAAGTCCATCATTAGCTCCTTGAGCTTCTTTCGGAGTCCATTGGTGACTGCAGACCGGGTCCGGTCCACAGGGGTGCCGGATTTGCAACCCGAAAGGCGCCTGTTCATTTCGTTAGCCCTGTCCATATCCTCCAGCTGAGCCCTTATGGTTCTTGCCTTCTTTAACACGGATAGAATATCTGAATTTATGCGATTTCGCAGCGATTTCAAGGCTTCGGGTTTGTGAAGGGCTTTGCACTCCTCATTCGCTTCTTGCAAATGGATCAAGATTTCCCTGATTGAGTTCATTTCCTGCTTCACCTTCTCTGCTTCTTCCAGGAATGCAGTGAGTTTATTATCAAACTGTGTTGTCCCCATTTCGATATCGGGAACTACTTCGAGATCCTTCATGGCTTCTTTCTTTAGATCCACATAGCTTGTGAACGATTTTGTCATCAAATCATTCATCTTGATTTTATTATTGAGATAGATATGGAAATTCAAATTTTGGATGAGAATTTGATTGCTGGATGGAGAGAGAGATTGAGAGAAAGGGGTAGCAAGTTATGGAGATATTCAAATTTAAAAATCAGTGAGAATTATATATTTACAGAGAGGATTAACGGGCACTTGGGGATCAGTTTCAATTATAGCCGTTGCAGTGGATCTAACGGCTAGTTTTTGAATAAAGAAACGTTGTCTGGTTCTGGTGTACTGTTGGAATAAGTTTGGGCCTCTTGGACAATGCGGGCTTTGGGCCATCTATTTAGAGTGAAAATTTGGGCAAATTAGGGCCCATACCCTAAAATATTAACTAAATTGATTAATATCCTAGTAACTAATTAAATAATTTAAAAACGCAATTAATACGTTTTAAAACCTCCAAACACCCTCCCCAAAGCCCCCCCGCCAATATATCTTTCACCAAAATGTTACTGCAAAGAATTGGTAATCAAATTCTGCACTCTATCTTATTTCTCTCCGTTAATGACGAGAAAGTGAAGAAGATATGCAAGAGAAAGAATGGTACACAATCGTCAAGATTTCAAGAATTTAACAGTGGCTGACATTTCCTCTTCAACATTTGAACACTGTCATGCCTTCCAACACCACCAAAGAAGTGCTATTTGACCTCTCTCATTTTCTTATTATCTACACAAAATATACCATCAAGAGGTTCTTGGACACACCTAATGTCTTGTTGTCTTTGAAAGACACAACCATTGGCATTTGATGCGATTTGAACATCCATTTCGACCCTACCCCTCTTTAATCCATACGGTTTGTAGTCTTAATTTAATTTTTCCCCAAAATTTTTGACAATTTCAAATCTGAAATTTAGGAGGGTGTATTCAATTGAGATTTTTAATGACTTTTTGAGATTTAAAAAGTTTAGGGGTATTCAATTGAGACTTTTTGAGACTCTCTAAAAATCATGGTGTATTCAATTAAGACTTTTATAGACTTTTAAAAAGTCTCTAAAAGTTACCGTGTATTCAATTAAAATTTTTTAGAAGTCTCTATAAGTTTTACGGTATTCAAATTTTAATGACTTCTAGAGACTTTTATAAAAGTCTCTGACGTACTAATTTTTAAGCAGAAAGTACTCATATAATATCTTAAAATTTGTCTCTCATTAATCACGAGATTTTGGGAGACTTTCACAAAAAAAAAAAAAAATTGAATCTTTCTTTCCTTTAATCTTTTATGGACATGTATAATTAAAACTTATTTTTTTATTTATTATATTCCATTTATTTTTCTTTCTCTCTTATTATTTATCTCTATTTCTATAAAAAAAAGTAAAAAAAAATTAAATTGGATTCTTATAACTTTTTTTTTTCTTTTTTCATTCATTTTTTGAGAAAAATACCTATTTTTTTTATTAAATTATGAAAATTTATAATTAAATTTAAATATATTAATTTTTTATTTATTTTTAAAAGTATACTATACTAATAATATTAAATCCTATATATATGTTTACTTTTGATTATTAATTATTTAATTAAAGTCTTAAATTTTTATTTTTTCAAATTCTTTTTTATTATATGGGCAGAAGAAGTGGAAGTAAAAGGGAAATTATGAGAACTAACATCTCGTATGTGAGAATCTCACACTTGATCCATGTGAATTCTATTTCAAATGAAAGTCTTCAAAAGTCTTTTGAATTCTTCAAAAGTCTATAAAATTTTAAAATGAAAATCCATAGAAGTCTACGAAAGACTTCCACTAATTCCATACAAATCTTTAAAAGATCCACGAAATCTACAAAAGTCATCACTTAAAAAAAGTCCATCAAAATTTTCAAAAATCCCAATTGAATACACCCCCTTTAATTTTTTTCGTATACAATTAAAATTCATGTCCAATTTGCAAATATGAGTTGCCAACTGATAGTAATAACTATGATAATAGCAATGGCGACCCAAGTGAAGTGCATAGAGGAGTAAACGAGTTGAAAATGGTGATGAAACTATTGGATTCATGTGATGGAGATTGCTTGGTAGTGGGTTTGCTGTGGGCCGATTTTCCAGAGGAATGAGGCAGTTGCTAGCGGTATATACTGAGATGAATGGTGGGTTTAATAATAAAGGTGTTCCAAAAATTTGTTCACTCTATTTGATTATATAATTGTTGTATGATGGATGCGAATTATAAATATAAATCATCATTAGCCCTTCGGTTACACTATCTGTGTAATGTATTGTTGGATAATCACATTTTTTCAAATTACTAATTTAATGAAATACTACATTGTAAAGGAATCATAATACAAAATGGTTCCTTTATTCATCAAAAGAGACTTCCCTTTTGAAGCCATAATTGATTTTCCTTGATACCTAACATAATGCATGAAAGGATCCTTGAACAATCATATGTTGGTCTAAAAATCATTAACAAACGAACGTAATTTGTCACTTTCTTGAATTTTCGTCATTTCTTTTGAGTATTTATCATCTTTTTTAATTTCTGACAACTTTAAGATTTTGATTTTTTGTCACTTTTTTTTAATTTACATCACTTTTTTTTAGTGTTTATCACTTTCTTAAATTTTTATAACTTTTTTAATTTATGTAACTTTCTTTTTATTTTCTATCATTTTTTTGAAATTGTAGTCATTCTTTTGAATGACAAATATCACTTTTTAGTAAAAGTAACACTTGACCTTATACAATATTTTTTACTTCAAAAAAAAAAAAAAACTTTTTATATGATTAGTGGGTTAATTGAGTTGATAGATGATGGTGGCAGTAAATTGACTTGAAGATGCTTGGCGTTTTTATGGATGACTATGATACTTTTTTTGTCATTTGAACTGATTACAATGTTTTAATTGATGTTTTGTCACTTTTTTGAATTTTTGTTAATTTTTAAGTGTTCTTTTTTGAGTATTTGTCATGTTTTATTTGAATTCTTGTCACATTTTAAGTATTTTTCAATTTTTTCTCACTTTCTTGAAATTTCTATTACTTTTTTGACTGACAAACATCAGTTTTAATAAAGGAGACATTGTACTTTTTTTTTTAAATTAAAAAAAAAGTGATATTTAACTTTAAAAAGTGATATTGTGTATAAAAAAGTGACAAATCAGAAAAGTGACATTGTATTCTTTTGCTTTTATAATGTTTTTCATATGATTTTTCAAAAGACCCTAATTTTAGGCATATTTTTGGTTTGCCGAAAATTTTTATATCTAAGAAATTAAGTATTAACCATTTCAAAATTAAGAGATAAGATTTATTATTTCAAAAATCAAATATTAATTAAATTTTATTTATGAAGTAATTAATTAAAAATATATTTTATTAATTAAATATATTATGGTCACAATTACTTGCTTATAGGTCACAATTTATTTCTCGATCACATATTATCAAATTAATTGATCACAAATTATTTTTGGATTATAAATCAAAAATTTTATAGATCACAATCTATTATTCAGTCACAAATAAAAAATTTACGTTATATCTTATTTATTGGTCACAAATTACAAATTTTATAAATCACAACTTATTTCAAGGTCACAAAATAACAAATTAATTGATCATAAGTTATTTATTGATCACAACTTAATAAATTATGAGTCATAATTACATTTTTAAGGTTACATATTAATTATTAATTACAAATTAACCAATTTATTAGTTACAAGCACCTCTATCCCACGCCATCCCACCCACAATCATCGCCGACCACCACCAACATCACCATCCCCTTACTAGCACAACTAACATCACCAACACTTCACCACAACAACCAACATCACAATCACTACCAAAAAGTCAGATCTAAAATTATCGATTACTGCTGCAACCACTCATGTCACCACTAGCACCCCTAACATTACCACCACCTTACCGCTGCAGTCAACATCATAACCATCACCACCCAAACGCCACAAAAAAATCAAATCCAAAATTATCACAGTCACTGCTTTAAAATCTTGGCATGGTGCGGTGGCAACGACATCTCAGCATTTTCACAATCGTTGCTTTTAGACGTGGCTATTGAAGATTTGCTGCTGTTGACTTATAGTTAATTATAATCTTAAAGTTTTGATTATAACAAATAAGTTAATCTCATTCATTAATAAGTTGAATTAAGGTGATTATAGTTTTTCAAGCATAAGATAGAAAAGTGACGATGGTCATCGAAAAATCAAAAGCTATCATCACAAATTGGACTCATGAAGGAGGTCAAGATCGAAGTCACACATTTAAAAACTTAAGACCCAAACTTAAAAGCAAGATCAAAGACTTGATTTCTTAGATAAAATGTAAATGTACTAACACTTCGGTATTTAGCAATGAATGCTTGAGCTCAAAATCCTTTTATGCATTAAATATAATTTTTGTGCATTAAAAGTTATTCCAATGCAATCTTTTGATCAAATATAAAAATGACTTTTAAAATGATATTTGAACTTGAAAAATATTTTTTATCTTGAAAAGTTAATTAAAAATACTTTCCAAAAGTCCATGCCCTTTCAAAACCTTCAAATCAGATTAAATGAGGCCAAAACATAAAAAAGACCGAAACTACCGGACAGTCAACGGGTCAAAGAAGGTGATTGACTAGAAGTCTTTCAACAGTCCAAAATTTAACTGTTTTGACCCTTATTTTTACAGAACAAACAGATATATTGGTCATCTAGACAAAAGGCGATTGACCGGACAAGTCATTCATGCTTTCAGATTTCTTCGTGTTTTGAGCTTTATAAATATCCCCACTCTTTCCATTCTTTATAAGAGATTCAAGAGCATTAAGTGAGATACATTTTGAGAGAATTCTTTGAGACTACATTGCACTTATTTCTTTATATAAAAAACTTTGATTGATTCAAACTCTTTTCATTATCTTTGTCAAAGTTTTTTTATTACTCTTTTTGTACTTAACTTATTTCTATCATTCATGGAAGAAAGAGATATTTTGAAGAAAAATTTTAAACTTACATTATATCATTTCTTCTACTTCTCTATATCAAAGTTATTGAATCAAACTTGTAAAATCATAATATTCACTAAAAGTTCCCCATCTCTCTCTTTTGGTACTTAATTTATTACCATTATTCATT